ATGCCTAGAATCACTCCAAGCAGCAGTTGAACAGCGACCACAATGGAGGCTGCACAGCGAAAAGGAGCAAAGAGCATTGTCTCTGCTATTTCACAACATAACTTTCTCTGTGTCTGTCAGCTGTTGTTCAGGCTGCTTTTGAACACGGGACTACCAAACTTCTGGCCGGGTGCTAAGCCTGTGTCCAAAAGACTCTGAATACCTGTTGATATCAGGTGATAGTCAGATTCTTTTATGCTGGTTGTGGAGAATGATTCTTCCCTGCCTGCGATGAAAAGAGAAAGGAACGTTGGGAGGGCAGGAAGCATCCTGGTGGGCTAGAGAGGGTTTGGGCCCAAGGATGAGCTGTTCTTCAGTACACCTTCCAGAACTCTTCATGGGTGTGTCAGGAGGACATGTTGTGTTGTGTGTCTGTTGGGGAGAAGAAAAAAGGGCCACACTTCTGGCAAAAGTTGCAGAACCGAATGGAGAAAAGCCAGAGATGCCCAGGAGAACCCTGGGTGAGGAGTGGGTGGGATCACATCCAGTGGGCACTGAGCAGCTGAAGAAGGAGAAGTGCGAACAGCTGCCCACTTGAGCAGAGACGATCCCCCCAGCAGCCATGCTGACTTCTCCAGATGTGCTGACCGCCAGCTGCCCGGCATTTTCCCCCCCAGCCAGAACCTGAAAGACCCCCAACTCCCAAGGGCAGCTCAGGCCAAAGGCAACAGACCCCTGGCTGAGGAGCCCAGAAGACCAGCCAGGAACTGGGGCAGCCAACTCTGGTGAGCAAAGGGGGACCAGGGGCCAGCTGAGGAGGGAAGGGGGTTCACATCTCCCATGGGAGCTGGAAGAGGGGCTGAAAACCATGTCTACCTGGGCGGTCAGAAAGGCATATTGAGGCTGTGAAAACCCCTCCAATTGGGAAGGGAATTCAACTTTCAAAAAAGAAGTTCAAGCTGTCCCAAAGAAAAGTTCATTTCTGATAAACCGCTATTTTTACACACCCGTCACTGATTTTTTGAGGCAAATTCAAAGCACCACATACCAACTGTCCTCATTTTATGCAGTAGCATACCCACCTTATTTGACACACAGAGCAGGTCATTTTTGACAGCCCCTCTTCCATCCCTGAGAGCCAGTTTGGTGTTGTGGTTAAGGCACCAGGTTAGAAGCCGGGAGACCCTGAGTTATAGTCCTGCCTTAGGCACAAAACCAGCTGGTGTCCTTGGGCCAGTCACTCTCTCTCAGCCCCAGGAAGAAGAAATTGGCAAGGTGCCATCACTGCTATGCCATGCCAACTACCACCAAACAGCTGATCAGCATGTGGGCAGCTGTGATCCAACTCCTCACCCACCACAGCCTCCTTTTTATCCTCAGCAGCTCACCTCCTATTGCCAGTATCTGTGTGCCACTAATTTTACGTTTTTGTTTCAGTCACTGCACAGCATAAATTAACATTAAATTAACATTTACAACCCTCTGATATGAAAACATCAGTGCTTACAGATTATGAAGAAAATAACTAAAACTTTAATATTAATAGCAAAGAACTACACTATCATTGCAAGATAAAATGATTACTATTAGTTATTGCTAATATATTTATTAGGACCGGGTACAGGATGGAAATGGCATTGGTCACACTCATGGATGATCTCTGGTGGGAGCAGGATGGGGGTAGTACATCCATCCTTGCTCTTCTTGACCTCTCAGCGGCTTTCGATACCATCAACCATGGTATTCTTTTGGGTCAACTTAAGGATGTGGGAGTAGGTGGCACAGTTTTGCACTGGTTCTCTTCCTTCCTCCAACGTTGATTCCAATCGGTGTTGATAGGGAGTGAGAGGTCCAGCCCGCGGCCCCTCCTTTGTGGGGTGCTGCTCTCTCCACTCCTTTTATACATCTCCATCCCAGGTGACCTGAGTGATGCTGTGACCACCCATTCACAGTGCCTAGAGGCTGTGGGGGTCTGGATGGGGAACAACAGGTTTCAGCTAAACCCTGGTAAGACAGAGGGACTATGGATTGGAGGTCCCTCTGTATCCGAGGATTTACCGTCTTTGGTTTTGGGTGGAATTGCACTGCCCTGAACAGACTCAGTGCGTAATCGGGGAGTCCTCCTTGACTCAAGAAGCAGCTGGCAGTCATGGCCAGGAGACCCTTTGCCCAACTTCATTTGGTGCACCAGTTACTCCCTTT